ACTCAGGGAAGGGGCCAGCACTTCCTGGCATTGCTGGCTGATGGCACTCATGCGGCCCCTTCCCTCTCCTGCACCTGTCAGAGCTGGGCTGTGAACCAGGCCAAGACAAATTACCCAGTTTCAGCCTTGTTTGGATATTCAGCATCTGCCTCTGAGCAATGTCACCCCTTTGTGAAGGCCACCTCTGTTGACAAGGTTTCTGCACATCCCTCTCCCCCCCGAAAGGTGGTGTAGGACTCACATGAACTCCTTGGAGCTGAAGCTATAGTGTAACTTGCTGTTTTCCCTGTCCCAGATTTCACCTTCCAGAAGGAGCTGTTTGCTGCCAGAGACACAGGTGAGCTGAGTAGACCATGGCACAGGCTTTGCGGGGTAGCCCTTTCTTGGGGAGGTGCTTTGGGGAGGCCAGTGGGACATGCCGGGGCATACGAAAAACCTCCTGTCATCCCTGGGGCATGGCACCGGCTCTGTGCTGTGCTGTCCCTGCAGTGAGTGCTGTGCGTCACTGCTCGGCTCTGCAGCCCCCTTCCTCCTGCAGCCCTTTGGAGTCTATGAATGCCTCCCTGGGGCACACCAGGGCTGTGCTCCTGCTGGGAGGTGGTTCCTGGCCCTGCAGAGGAGGGACCATTGCACCCTGGCCAAAGGGCTGTCCCTAGCCCTGTCCCTGCTCCTATCCCTGCAGCCCCATGTGTCTGCCCCATTGCTAAATAGGGACACAAAAAGTGCCTTCAAAGAGCTCCTGGCAGAAGCTGCAATGGCAGAGAGAAACCCAGTAACACCAGGAGATTTTCAAACACTAGTCAAGAGCAAGGCTGGCCTGGGAAAATGAGAGGCAGGAAACACTGCCAGCATGTGCTGGTAGGTATGATATTCTTCCTTTCTGTCCCCACTCCCCTTGCAGACCCCATGCACAACCTCTCTGTTCAGCCCTGGCAGGCAAAGATGGCCAACCTGACCTACGACAACTTCACCCTGGGCAACCGCTCCGAGGTGGCCATCCAGCCTCCCACCAACTACAAGACGGTGGAGCTGGTTTTCATCGCCACGGTCACCGGCTCGCTTAGCCTTGTCACTGTGGTGGGGAACATCCTGGTGATGCTATCCATCAAGGTGAACCGGCAGCTTCAGACTGTCAACAACTACTTCCTCTTCAGCCTGGCTTGTGCAGACCTCATCATAGGAGTCTTCTCCATGAACCTCTACACAGTCTACATTATCAAAGGCTACTGGCCGCTGGGGGCCGTGGTGTGCGACCTGTGGCTGGCCCTGGACTACGTAGTGAGCAATGCTTCTGTCATGAACTTGCTCATCATCAGCTTTGACCGGTACTTCTGTGTCACCAAGCCCCTGACGTACCCAGCCAGGAGGACCACCAAGATGGCAGGGCTAATGATTGCGGCCGCATGGATATTGTCCTTCATTCTCTGGGCCCCTGCCATCTTGTTCTGGCAGTTCATTGTGGGCAAGAGGACAGTCCCCGAGAGGGAATGTTACATCCAGTTCCTCTCCAACCCAGCGGTGACCTTTGGAACGGCCATCGCTGCTTTCTACCTGCCTGTGGTTATCATGACGGTGCTGTACATCCACATCTCCCTGGCCAGCAGGAGCAGGGTGAGGAGACACAAGCCTGAAAGCAGGAAAGAGAGGAAAGGCAAGTCCCTCAGCTTCTTCAAGGGCCCCCTGATCAAACAGAACAACAATAACTCCCCCAAGAGGGCCATGGAGGTGAAGGAGGAGGTGAGGAATGGGAAAGTGGCTGACCAGCCCTCAGCACAAACAGAGGCCACTGGTCATCAGGAGGAGAAGGAGACCTCCAATGAGTCCAGCACTGTTAGCATGACCCAGACCACAAAAGACAAGCCCACGGCAGAAATCATGCCAGCGGGACAAGGACAAAGCCCATCCCACCCACGGGTGAACCCATCTTCCAAGTGGTCCAAGATTAAGATCGTCACCAAGCAGACAGGGACTGAATGCGTCACTGCCATCGAGATCGTCCCAGCTAAGGCAGGAGCCTCTGACCATAACTCCCTGTCCAACAGCCGCCCGGCCAATGTTGCCAGGAAGTTTGCTAGCATTGCCAGGAGCCAAGTACGGAAGAAGCGCCAGATGGCAGCCCGGGAAAAGAAAGTCACCCGCACCATATTTGCTATCCTGCTAGCCTTCATACTCACATGGACTCCATACAATGTGATGGTCCTCATTAACACCTTCTGTGAGACCTGTGTACCTGAAACAGTGTGGTCCATTGGCTACTGGCTCTGCTATGTCAACAGCACCATCAACCCAGCTTGCTACGCTCTCTGCAACGCCACTTTCAAGAAAACCTTCAAGCACCTTCTCATGTGCCAGTACAGGAACATTGGCACAGCCAGATAAACTGGCACTCAGGGACTACTTCAGCAATGTTATGGAAGCCCTTTTCTTCGCCTCCTTTGCTGGGGGTGTGTGTGTGTGTGCGTGTGGGTGTGTCCTCTGCTCCCCACTCATGACAGTGCAGACTGTGCAGTGATTGCAGATGGTGCCCTTCATCCAATGCTGACAAAGGTCCAAGGCACCTCCAAGCTGCAGCTCCTTCCAGTCATCCTGGGCCTGGGGACTAGCTTGGGCAGCCAGTGGGGAAAGAGGAGGAGATGGGGCCACCAGGAGCCCTCCCCAGCTCTCTGCTCTTGAGAGGTTGGCCAAACGGCATCAGTGTTTGTCCTAAGACTGGGTGCCTCTTTTCCCCTGTCTGATCATTTCCAGGGCATCAGAGCTTGTCTGCATGCAGACGGCCTAATGCTGGATGCTTTTAAACTATTTATTACCCAAGAAATGAAAAGAAACCAGGGCCAAACATTTGCCAGCCGTCTTGGACCAGGCTGGCTCAGGCATGCTCACAGAGAGACCTGCTGGCCCAGCCAAGCCCTCTCCTGAGGCAGTCAAGATTGCACCCTAGCAGATGCAGCAAGCTCTTTCCTTTCCCTTGAGAGACACCATTGTACATCCTCACCCAGGGACCAGCAGGGGTGGGGGTGGGGGGGCAGATTTTTCCCTGGGCTTCAGCTCTGCTCTCCCCTTCATGCCCTTTCTACCCTTGGCCAGCAACTGGCTGGACAGACAGAAAGACAAATCAAGCATCTCACTCCTGGGTGAGGAGTGTGAAACCCAGTTGTCCCTACAATGACGGAAACTAAAACTGCAAAGAAAAGCAGTGGTGTGGTGCAGGACTTCTCTCCACAGCCCTGGGGGGACATGGCCCCAAGAAATGGGCAGCAGCAACAGTGAAAATAACCATCCTTGGGAGAGACAAAGAGAGCTGGACATCTCAGAGGGAGTCAGGAAGAGGGTCTGCAATGTGGCTGAGGTGCCCTGTGTCTCATCTGGGCAATGAGTAGTTCCCCGCTGTCCTCATGGCATGTGTGGGAGGCCTGAGGCACAGCTCTGGGGGTGGGAGAGGACAGCTGTGGCCCTCAGCCCTGCTTCCGGGTGTAGGTGGATGCCCCAGGGAGGCCAAAGGAGCTGGCTGCTGAGCTTTGTAACTGGATGTAACCCTGTCGTCGGTGTTGTGGCGGAGCTCTCAGCATGCGGGCTTCAGCCACTGTCTCCAGCCCCCTCCCAGCCCACCTGTATGTGCAGCCAGACCACCCCGGGGCTGCTCCTCAGCTTCTCCCAAAGCCTGGTCTCTGCAAGCCTTGGTGGACACAGCTTGGTGCAGACGAGGGACAGGATGGTGTCACACTGTCACTGGCAAACTCGGTGCCCGTATGTCCTTCCTGTCCTTACACCAGGGTGATGCTGTGCTATCTGGA